CTCAGTTTGGAGTTTCCCACAGGTGTCTAATTAGTGTGCCTGATTTCTTTCCAACGCCCTTATTGTGGCATGGACAGCTAATTTTAGTATAGTGCAGGCCTTCGGGAAGATGGCCCCCTTTGTCCTTAATCTAGCTACCTAATAGGAAGACATCTGAAATCGAAAGGTCTGACTCAAAACTCCACCCGAATGCATATTCATGACTATTCTTGTGAAATCGGCTACATATTCACAATAGTCTCCATGTGAGCCAGAATCAACTCAATGCAGTGAGTTAGTTAACTAGATCCATGTCCATAACGCTAAACTCTCCCGCTTTCCCCCCACAAGGAGCTTGTTTTGGTGACTATCTTCCAGGCTCGCCCTGTGCTTCATCAACCACAGTAAAGCTTTCTCCTTCCACTTTCATCCCGTGTCTCCTGTCTCAGACGCTGCGTGAGACCCAGACGGGGCGAGTCACCTTTCAAACAAGAACCCGGAGCTCCCTCCCAGGACTGCCGGCGTCTTCCTGTGCTGAATCTCCCTGGGCTCTCTGGCCGCCTCTCCTCCTTCCTCTGTATGTGTGATAAAAGGTGTTGCTTGTGCCGATGGATTCAGAATGCTCAAAGATATATTTTGATTTGTTCATTTCAATACAAAGTCTGAAGAAAATGCCCATGACTTGCTGGCCTCGGATGATGGGCCTCCGAGCAGGGAACTTATCCTCAGTTTGCCCTGTGGGTAATGGGGACACACTACCTGTGAGAGTCTCTCGAGTGGGTCATTCCTCGGTTCTTGGCTTCGCAGGAGAAAAAGAATTCACGCAGAAGCCTGGTTTGTAATCCAAAGGAGTTTTTATCAAGGACAGGAAAAGTTTCAGGTTTTACAGCCTCCAAAAGAGGGCACACTACTTCAGGGAAGTGTGCCAAACCGCCCCGGCCACTGCGCTGGGGCCCACACTGAATACAGGCAACCTCGTGGTCTGCACACCCCACGCGGTGACCTGAGGCCAGAGAGCAAGCGGCACACACAAGTGGGCGCAGGGAGCAGGGTAAAAGGAGAGCCCTCCTTCCCGTGGCCAGGGTGCTTTAAACCGCTGGCTAGGGTGGTGCGGTGGAAGGTATTGGTCAGCCCCATTGGCTGAATTAAGCCCACCTGGGTGGAGTCATGAGCCTGGGCCTAGTTTGGGCCATCCAGGTGGAATGCCGATTTGGCTTGGGGCCTGAATTTGAGCATGCCCAGTGAAAGTCTTCATGGGTGGCTAATGCCTGATTTTTTCCCAACCAGCTCTATGGGGCCTGTCCAAGAATGGGAGGGACTGGCTACCTAACCCCGGGACTCACCTTATATGACAAAGAGCTGAGACAAAGCAAAGACTAGGTTTTTTGTAACCTTAAAGGTACTTGTCAGTGCTGAGTGATATGAGGCCCAGTCGACTTGCTTTCAAGTTCTCCTGGGCAGTGGCTCTAATTGTAAGAAGTAGAAAGGATCATGGCCAAGTTCCCAAATAAGTGACTGAGAAATGAAGGGTTGGACCAGGTGACCTGGAAGGTCCCTTCTAATAGTCTTAAGTGACACACACACACACACACACACAAAATCAAATCAAATCACAGGAGCGTTGCTGAACAGTTTTAGGAAACAGGAGACAAGGGTTTAAAAGTATCTAAATCCTATGCTGGGAAATGGAAATGCTTTTCTTTTAACAGCATTTGCATAGTCTTCTGTTTCATAACAAAAGGAAACCATGTTACCCCACAGTTTATTTTTCCTCCTCAATTTACGTTTGAATGCCCTGTGGAATCTGAGGCATCCTGTGGAATGCAGCAAAGCAGCCCCCCACCAGGAGGACTGCTATCACACCCCCTCTTGGATCTGAGTGTTCTCAGGCTCCTGTGGCACCTCCAGGAAGCAACAGCATTTAGGACAGAAGGAAAATGAGTGCTTCTCATCAGGGACATGGGTCAGGGTCTTGCTTCCAATTCCCCTCCTAGGAGCTTTTCTGTGGGTTCCCATTGCCTATCAAATAAAAGCAAACCTCTCTGTCTCCCCAAGTTCACAGCTTCCCTCCTGGCGGTCCAATCTGCATTTCCAGATGATTCATCTGCCACAGTCACAATCCCATATGACTGGAGGGCAAGAGTTAGCCAAAATAATGGATTTCCATAGTGTGTCTTGGTTACATGGGCTGCTGACAGCAACGTCAGCAGTTTTGGAGAAAGATAAGTTTCCTACTCTTGTTACCATCTCAGAAACCCACAGGGACTGTTCTACTTTGACCTTTAGGGTCGTTATGAGTCAGAATTGACTCAATGGCAGCGAGCTTGAGTTTTTCCTTTGAATGTTTGTCCTGCAAGCCCACCACTAGTACACATGACAAAGGCTCATTTCCAGCTCTCAGTGGGTCTCCACATTTAGTGCCTTTGTGCAAGGCTCTATCCCAACAACTATCTGCCCGCATCCTGACTGGAACATCACTCCCACTTATGTGCAAATGGAAAACCATGTTCCAAAGTAACTGGAAACAGTGAAAAATTGTAAAGTATAATTACGCTAAGTGCGTATTCGTTATATGAGTGACGGCTACTCATAGCTGGCAGATCCACTGCCTGTCTAGTTTGCAGTATTGGTGCTGTGACACAGGCAAGGAGGCCACAGGTATTTCAAATACCAGCAAGGTCACTGTGGTAGTTATGTAATCTGGCGTCAACTTGAGACTATTAAGAGTGGAGGGGTGGAATCTAGCTTGTCAGGTCGCAGCTCTATGACCCCATTTGGAGGCATGACAGAGATAAATAACTCACTGGAGGCCAGACACATACTCTCTCCCTGGGAGACATTCCTGTTGACAAACCAGTTGGAGCTACACTGATGGAGCCAGAGTCCTGGAGCTGGAGGAGTCACGTGGGAAACCCATGCCAGCGTTGAGATGCTTACACCACCACTGGATCCACAAGACTTTCTACTCACTGGTCTGTGACCTTGCACTCAGCATCATTGCGTGTATTGTATGAAGAGGAACTTACAGACAGGTATTGGGTATATGAGCTAATATCTAATATGACATATGCACATATGAGCTAATAGCTAATATCGGACTTACAGACTTGATCTGGACTGGGCTGGGATGTTTTCTTCATATACTCTTTTATATAAAGCTCTTTCTTATACACTTAAAAGTCTCCCTAGATTTGTTTCTCTAGTCTACCTGGACTAACACAGTCACTCAGAGTGGAAAGGTTTCAACAAAGTGACTAGACTAAGACACACTACTTTTTTTTTTACTTCAAAAATCAGCCAATGAAAACCTTGAATGGACCCTAACATTGTCCACCTCACATACTTTGGGCGTGTCATCAGGTAGGATCAATTGCTCAAGATGGCTATCCTGTTTAGTGAACTAGAGGGCTAGCAAGGATGAGAGGGACCCTCCTGAAACAGACTGCCATGATGGACTTGAACCCGCTGGCCAGTGTGAGGATGACACAGGATTGGGCAATGTTTCGTTCTGTGGTGCACAAGGTCATAGAGATCAGAATCAACTGGATGACAGCTAACTCCAGCTAACTACCAGCTATACATTTGCCCTGTTGTTGTTTCCTACAGCACTCCCAACTGGAATGAACCTGAACTCACTTCCTCTTTGTGGCTCCCCTAGCTCATGCCAGTTTACCTTGTTCCTCAACCCAGCTGCTGTGCAACTGTGCAACTTTCTGTATTGCTCAAAGACAGGAGTGCGGAGTGCGACTGTCTGGATGATTGGGCCGGGAGGATCGCCTGGTCGGGAGGCCACTGAGATTCGGAAGGCTGGTTGTGCATCATAAATTACCCAACAGCCTTTATGTTAGAGTTGACATTTTCATCTTGCCAGTATCTTGTGCCTTGAGTAATGAGTAGTATCTGGAACAGCATGCAACTCCCCCGAAGTGTGTACTTTAATAGAAAAGTATATAAACTATATTACGATCAGAAGTAGGACCGCATTCAGACTGCCTGCAATACTGTTGGACTCCCCCTTTTGGTTCCACCTTCTAATAAAGCAAGAGAAGGGGACGTCTGGCTCACGGGCTATCTAAGGCCCTGGAAAATCACCAATACCAGCTAGTCTTGTGAGGTTTCTCGAGTGGGTAATACCTCAGTTCTTGGCTTTGCATGAGAAAGAATTCATGCGGAAGCCCGTTTATAATCCAAGTGAGTGTTTATGAAGGGTGGGCGAAGTTTCAGGTTGTACAGTATCAAAAGAGTACACGCTATTTCAGGGAAGCGTGACAAACTGCATGGAAGCTGTGCTGGGGCTCACAGCTGGATATGAGCAATCTCGTGGAACAGGGCACCACATATGCAGAACTGAGCGCCAACGGGCGCTGGGGCATGGCAAAAGAGAGAAAGACATAGGCTCGGAGCGGGCGCATGCATGTCCCAAGCAGGCCGGGAGCAGCACTGAGGGCGCCCACGCAGGCCGTGGGTGTGCGCCTCCTACCTCCACCTGTATCTGACCAGGAGCAGAGTAAACAGACAAAGGCCTGGCTGCCACCAGCGTATTTCAAACCTCCGGCTGGGGAGGCGTGGTTGAAAGTATTGATTGAACTCATTGGCAGAATTAAGCCCACCTGGGCCTGGTTTTGGCCTTAATTTGGAGCATGTTCCTTTAGGGGGTCCTCATAAGGTGGCTGATTCCTTGCCAACCCCCTCTAGGGCCTAAACAGGCATGGGAGGGGCAACCCCCTTACCCTCTCCTGGTTACCTAACACTATCACACACCTCGCCAGAGAGCAGTAGTCGTTCCACCTATCACATGGGTGTGTGAATTCACTGTTTGCCCAGGATGGCCCTCAACTGATCTTATAAATAGCCAAATGGCCCTTGCCGGAACAAAGGCTCCTACCCTTGTAATAGAGTTTCTCTCTTTCTTGCTTGGAGCTGGTGAGACTGGTTCTGCGGCTCCAGGGCACGAACCCGACAGGGGTGACACTGTCCCCAATGAAACATTCAGATAATGAAATGCAGGGTCGACGACTGTATTGTTTGTAAAAATGAATTTATTAAAATGCTCACAATTATAAAAGAATATTTAAATGCATAGAAATTAACTTTAACAAACATTCATTACAAACTTTACATTTTATGCCACAGTGTCTGAAAAGCATCATTAACATTTCAGTTCTGGCTTAGTTAAGCTGCTCATGCATTTCAACTTTCCAAACATCTTCAAATACGAACCGGAGGAAATGGCACAAGAAAGGTTTCAACAACACAGCACATTCTGCCCCTGTTGTGAGTGAACGTTTTCTGAAATCCAAGATATACATACCAAAAAAACACCAACAGCCCCAAAAAGAATTTGATGACAGTTTACAAGATGGCTTTGTTTAGCTTCTGAACAGAAACTACAGCTTGCCTTTCTAATGACACATCTAAAGTACTTAGGGACATTTAAAGAAAACCCCCTTGAGTGTATGGGCCTAATGCTTCAATCTATTAAAATTCACAGGCATTACGAAAGGATATAAAACTAAAATTTCCCTAGTGGTTAACGCCTATGGCCAGATCCGCCCTTCTGGGGTCCGGGGCAGCAGTGCCCAACCATTTCCCCAGGTTTTGCCCGCGGCTGCCTGCAGAGTCCACCCTTAATCGGCAACAAGTCAGCACCAGACTGACCTTGGGACATGTCACATTTGCCATCTTCACAAGCACAGAGCCTTTTCTCACCTGTCTACAGCAGCACATTTAATATGATGACCGTGATTTTCTCAGCTGGGGCCATAAAAACACACGTCCACATTTCCTTCTGAAACTGTCTTTACGTACAAGGAGATAAGGTGAAATGATTCCCTTCTCAACACTGACAGGTCGTACATAATTGTCCAATCAAACACTAGGAGAAGAGGTAATCCGAGAGGAAGTGATCACACCCACTTCCAGGAGCAGGATCACAGGTGGGAGGGAGAGGGACAGTGGCGCTCCCTGGCCCAGGTTGTAATGGACCAAGAAGAGGGAAGAGATTCTTTGATCCCTCCCAGTGCAGCCAGGCCTCAGGTGGTCTGTCTTGAGCACTCTCTTGATGGCATCATTACCAAGGTGAGATGCCAGCCCTGCTCATTGGGATGCTCAAAAACCTTTGATGAGTCCAGCATACTATTTTTTTTTTAAAGGGGACACTTTAATGGCAGGCATTTAAACTGTGTTGCTGGAGTTGCTCTGTTGTACTAAGCTTCTAGAACCTGACCGTGGAAACCTTTTTCATTTTCCTTCACTGCTGAGAGTCTAAGAAGCATGACTCCTGCAGCACCTGAGCATGTAACAGCATCACAGTGGAAGAGACCCATCCAGGAGAACAGGGTGCAAGTCACCTCCTCCTGCGCCTAGCACCCACCTGTCCCTGTCAGAGCTTATCAGAAGGCCTGGCGGTTAAAAGGAGCAAAGAGTTAAAACTAGTCAAACCTGAGGGCAAAAAATGCCTGGTGGTGCAGGGGGGCAACATCAGATGATGTTGGGGTCCAAGAGCAATCCTACAGCTCTGCTTCTATCCTTAACTGCCTATGGACTCTAAAGGAGGCTGGAAGCTCAAATCACTTCCCAAGGAGGCTCTTTTCTGGATTAGGAATAATCTGGGTATACCTGTCTCTACCTCCCCCACCATCAACACTCCTCCAGTATGGGCAGACACTTCCTTACACATTCGATGCTGAGCTTGGGATAAGAGATTGGAAGGGTAAGGCAGCCACATTCACCATGGCAGATGCTTTGGTATGTATGTTGCTCATGTTGGCAGAGAGAAGTAGCGCCAAGTCATGCAGAATCTCTGAAGAAAGGCACTCCCTCACAATCATGAGGGTGACGATTAGGGCACTTGTGGGTCTTCCAACATGCACAGTGTCCTGATGCCACATTGGCTATGCAGTGAGCCATTCGTAGCGATGCTTGGTGACTTGGAATACTGCAGATCTTGTATCAACTGATGGGAAATGGATGAGCTCAACTTTGCCAGACCATTATGTTGCTACAAATGCGATTTTAGCACTTTTTCATTTTTCCATTTCTTCAGGAAAAGACACATCTTTAGAAGAGATAAATTCATTAATTTGGTCAATATGAATTATAATGCTATTTAAATCATAATTTTTCTCCCTTTTGTCATCTTATTCCTTTGAGATTTACAAAGCAGTCAATGTTGATTAGGCATAGAACCCTTCTGGAAAACAATGAGGCCACTGCGGATTAGGACAAAGAAGCCTTACCACCTTGCCCTCTCCAGTAAGAGTACTTCTTTCCGTTGCGGAGCCAGGCCGCAATGAAGGCTGAAACTATTTCCTCTGGTGAGTGGTGGCTGCCCTTTCTGTAGGGATGTGATATAGCCACACACACACACACACACCCACTCCCAACCCCCGGCCAGCTGTTGTGAGTTCTTGAGTCTCTTTGCCACTTAACACAGCATTCAAACAGAATTGTGACCCAGTTCCTTTCCATCACACAAAAGCGATTAAGGCAGTGGCATGTCTAAGCTTTCATGATGGTTCGGTAAGGGAAAGATCACCCTGGAAGGGGCCTGGCAAAGTGAAGGAATGAAGCGCTCCCCATCACGGGGCTGAGAGCAGATCAGGATCAACATCATCCAGCTTCGAAGGGGGGCAAAAAAGGAATCCATTCTGCTTCAGAACGGGTGGTTTTACACACACCGGCAGACTGTTCTCTGTGGCTAAAATTCCAATTCATAGAAAAAGTCATATTTCAGATTTTCCACGTGATTAGTTTTATGCTCTTCTTGATCTAAGTTGTACGTTTTCCACTTCCTGCATTGCTGCTGCAACTGAAAAATAATCTCCATGGAAACGGCTGCAGTTAAGACTCATATTTGCTGAAGTGATTTAACTTGAACATTCTCATTAGTGATTTGTAATATATTTTGACAGAGCTAAATCCCTTAAAGTGCTTCTCAGAACATAAAGCTCTTATTCTACTTTTGGTCGCGAATGGTTCTCTACGGCAGCTTCCAGCATCTTCTCTGCGAGTGTGCCCATGCTCTTGGTGACGTCTTTGAGGTGGTTCTCATGAAGGAGCTTTTGGGTCAGGTATTTTTCTCTCTTGATTTTGCTCTTCGTCCTTTTTGAGACATCTGGAATGGCGTACGAAATGAAAAATTTCACAGAGTAGATGATATGCTGAGGGAGAGAAGAACACAAAGATCAATCACGGAGAAATGGTGGGAAACAGAATTCCTACCATTCACTTTTTTTGCTCTTCACTGTAGCAGTGTACCGGGACGGGACTCTGGCTATCTCGTTTACGTAGCACTCTCTCTTGCCACAGGCTGTAAGGAGCAGCAGGCTCTGCCGAACAGTTACATTCTGTTTCTTTACCAACATTGTCAAGGAGTGTTATTTGATATGTAGGGAGTCTTGGTGGTGCGACAGTTAAGCATCTGGCTGCTAAACCACAAGGCCAGAAGTCTGAACTCATCAGTCAGTTCAGGAGAAAAGATCGGATGATCTACTCCTATAGAATGATTACAGCGTAGGAGACACCATGGGGCAGTTCTGTTCTGCCCTGTTGGGGCACTATGACTTGGAATTGATGACAGCACAACCAACAACCAATTCTATGTAGGAGGGAATATGAGGGCGTATAGTAGTGCTTAAATTCTGAGCACCCTGTTTGCAAAAGGCTATGGATGATAGTCAACCCCCCAATCCATTTGCAGAGTCCCCACATGGATGAAACCCTTCTGATCCATGACTAGGGTTGAAAACAGTCTTGTCCACAGGCAGAGTGCACTGGACAGTCTGGCTTGCCTGGGTAAGGCCTCAGTCCTTGGTAGGGATCCCTGTAGCAGAGAGTCACACAGCCATGAGTCATGCCCTATTGGCCATCCCGTGACTGCTTTAGTCGGAAGGCCCTGGACCAAAGCTCTTCTGTCGATCCTGATGTATGTGTCTAAGTCGTGGTTCTGTTCCCGATCCTGTGATTATGATGTACTGATCAGACTTTGTGACAGTTTCCTGTCAGTGCCATCCATGCCTTAATGAAACAGCTGTGTGACTCTGAGTCTTGGGATGTCATTCTGAACTGGTACTAATGGTTTCCCTCAAACCGATGTTGTACCTTTGTCTTGTCTTGGTCCTGTTTTAAACTTAATAAATGTTCTTAAGTTATATTTGAGATTTGGGGGTCTTTTTTGTCTCTTTAAACGGGGGCTTCAAAAATTCATGGAAAAATGGAGTGAAAAGATAATGGAATTTTTCCATGAACATTATGATGCCCCTTCGGATCTAGTATGTATATTAGCTACAAAAGATGAAAAAAACAAAACAAACACCAACTGGCCCCAGTTAAACCGAAGAAGCGGGTCATTGCTAGTGCATCTGTGCCAAGGGTCCCCAAGCATCAGTCCGGAGAAGACAAGGACACAGAAGTGGCACAGAAATTGGGCAACATGACCATTGAGGGAGGAGGGTGTCCTGGGAGCTGAGGGCAGAAGAGTTTCAAGGAGGAGAGAGAAATTCACTGCTTCCAAATGCTGCTAATTTAGCAGGTCCAGAGAGAGTGGAGACGTGCTCATAGGCTTTACTAACAAAATAGCCACTGGGAGTTTGGGCACCAGCCGTTTCTGTGAAGTGGCGGGAGCGGAAGCATGGCCGGAAGGAGCATAGGAAAGGGAAGGCAGAGAGGAATTGTGAACGGCAAGCACGGCGGCCGACTCTTCAAGGGTGTTTGCTGAAAAAACCAGAAGGGCTGTGGGACCGAACCGATGGGGTCAGTAGGATCAAGAGAATATTACCTTGAGATGAGAGAGATGCTACCTGTGAAAGGATGGTGGCAATTAAAGAGGAAAATAGGCAACTCGATGTGGAAGGGGAGGTGTTGAGGTCCCCTCGCCCTTTCTTTTTCTTTCCATAGCTCCATTGGAGGCAAGTAATAGTTACAGATACAGGGAGATATTCAATGTTCAGTCCTCCTTGCATTCCTGGGACAAACCAACTGAGTCATGATGTTATCTTTCTAAATAGATCTTGTTAGATTCTGTTTACATCTGTTACGAAGATCCGTGCATTCATGTACATAAGTGAGATGATAACGTTTTGTTTTCTTTTAGTGTCTAGGCTACTCCCGGCCTGATAGAATAAGTTGGAAAGTTATTTCCTCTTTTCCTGATCTCCGGGAGAATTTTGTACAAGATGAAATGAACAGCTCTGCAAAGTTTTGTATAACTGCCTTATAAAAACCATATGGCAAATAATGAAGGCAGCATATGTACGAATAGGCTTGATACAATTGATGTACAGATTGTTATAAGAGCTGTGAGAGTCACCAATAAAATGATCTTTTAATGAAAAAGCAAAACAAAACAAAAAACCTGTGGCCCAGTGTGTTCATTTTGGAACTACTTCACTGAAAGTTTTGCTCAAACTTAGGTTTATTTAAGCATTTTGAAGATTTTTAGACCTCTGATGGAGAAACCCCTAATGGCTTCTACTGTTGAACTTGAAAAGTCTACTCTTAGCTAGCTTTAGCTTCTCTGATGGACATGTCTGTTTTCTCTGGTGACTTTTAAGATCTTGTCTTCAGTGTGTTGTATTTTCATTGTAATATGTTCAAGTGTGGATTCCTCTATTTAATTCTTCTTGATAGTTATTATACTTTCTGATTGAAGGACTGATGTTTCCCATCTGTTTTTAAAAATTTCTCAGCCGTTACTTCTTCAAATATTAACTCTTCAACTCTTGATTTTTTTCTAAGGCTTAAAAAAAGTTACTCCTTCACATCCTATCTTCTATACTATTTAACCATTTTTTCACCCACATTTTCCATTTTCTTCTCTCTCTGCAATATATTAGGAGTTATCTATTCAGAACAACTTCAAATATATGATCATTCAAATTCTTATAGTTAGTAAGGGTCTAAATCTGTTTGATCTCTGCTGAACCTAACTCCTCCTGGCCCCCTCCCTCATTGTTGTTGTTGACCTTTGATTGTGAGCTCATATTTGATTCTCCTAATCTGAGAAAGACCTGGAGTCCAAATTGAGAACTCTCCCCTCGCCCCACAGCAGATCAGCTCCCTTTTGGGTGCCAGGGCCTCTACTGATGTAAGGTAAATCTGGCCACTTTTTGAATCCCTGGCTTAATCCGGGAGTCTCGCACGCAGCGATTCTACCTGCTTCTGATGCAAAGCTTGATCTCCTTGCTTGTTGCTAGGAGAGTCCCCAAGCTATAACTCGTAGGAAGAAGCTGATTTGGGGTCTTTTGGCACACACTTGATTCCTGATAGAAACGAACAGATAAGGCTCGCTTCATCTCCTTCTTCCAACTTCAAATGTCCATAAACTGTAAGTCCTGGACTTTCTGTAGCCATAATGCAAGGAGATAAGCATGAGAGATGGAGGCCCTCACTCAATGAGCTGGTATTAACTCAGGAGCAGCAACCTACTTCTGCTTAACGTTTGCTACGTGAGCAAAATCAACCCTCATAGTTTAAACCACTACAGATGGGTTTTGTGTGTCGTGCAGCACAATCTAGTCCTAGCTAACCACACCAATCAAGCAAATTTGAGGCTGGGTAATTCAGTGGTAATGATTCACTCGGGTAAGAAGCTGGCTGTGTCAGATGCAAATTTTTAGCTGCCTCAGTCAACGTTCAAAGCTAGCAAATTCCGGAATTTAAGAAACTATTGTAAAAGCGTGTACTGTGTGATAATGTAATAAAAGACATACTTAATAACACAAGAATCAAACTATTATAGCCATAAAATTCTTAGGGGCAGAGATGAGATCCTGTTCATCTGGAATGTGCCCCTTCATGCAGTGCAGTGCCCCAAATTAGGGGGCGGGGTGGGAGCACGCAATTAATACTGAATTGGTTGGAATTGAATTCCCCTTGTACACAACACACTTTTAATGCTTGTAACCTTAAAGGCAGATAACCAACCTGACTTAGTTAATAAGAGCATTATGGGTATTTCAGGTCAAACCTGATTAATGTATGTCCTATGATACTTATTATCAAGAGACAAGGGAGAAAGTAACGTATATTGCAAATAGCAAGTTGTCAATATTTAAAGTTAATAAAAGGTCTTCGAACAGCTAGCCTTACAGGCTCCTTCAAAGGGTAATTTCCTACCTCCATGACAATGATGAAGGCCAGCTTAGCTGCGATCACGTGCCAGTAGTAGATGTTGTGTTTGTACTCCTGCGGGTGTCCTGGAGGGTACCGGAAGTCACGATACCTAGAAACAAACAGGAAGTGTACTGTGAGATGATCTGTGATGATCAAACACAAATGGTAAACAAGGGCCTCTTTTGAAAAGATGGCAGGGTTAATGCGATGTTCTTTCACATTGTTGTTGTTGGGTACCACTGAGGCAGCCATGACAGTTAGCAGCCCCAAGCGCAACAGGATGAAACACTGCCCGGGCCTGTGCCAGCCTCGCAAGTGTTCCTGTGCCCGAGCACATGGATGCAGCCACTGTGTCCATCCGTCTCATTGAGGGCCTTCCTCTTTGTCGCTGCCCTTCCACTTTCCAAACATGATGCCCTTCTCCAGGGACTGGTCTCTCCTGCCAACATGTCCAACGTATGTAAGATGCCTTGCCTTGTCGCTCAGGAGCATTCTGGCCTTACTTCTTCCACCACAGACCTTTTAGCAGTCCATGGTACTGTCACTGTTGTTCTCCAGCACCCCAGTTCTTCACAATACATCAATTCTTCTTCTGTCTTCCTTGGTCAATGTCTACTTTCACATGCATATGAGGCAACTGAAAATACCTTGGCTTGGGTCAGGGCTTCCTTAGTCCTCAAAGTAATAGCCTTGCCCTTCAATATGCTAAAGAAGTCTTGTGTAGCAGATTTACCTAATAAAACACATCTTTTGGTCTCTTGACTGCTACGTCCATGAGAATTGATTGTGGATCCAAGTAAAACAACATCCTGGACTTCAGCCTTTCTGTCATTTATCATGGACCTATTGGTCCAGTTGTGGGGATTTGGGTCTTCTTTACATTGAATTGTAATCCATACTGAAGATCCTTGATCTTCATCAGCAAGTCCTCCTCATTTTCCGTATGCAAGGCTGTGTCATCTGCATACCACCGGATGTTAATAAGCCTTCCTCCAGTCCTGAAACCACATCCTTTTCTGAATCCAGCTGAACTCCGGCAGTTCACTGTCAATGTACTCCTGCGACCATCTTTTAAATTGGATGGCACATACATTTTCTCCGAGAGCTCAATTTGGCAATGAAATCCTGAAAGAACTGCTTCAGTAATACACCTCATTGAACATGTAATATGAAGATGATGGCAATGAGGGATTCCGTCTTTGTAAAACAGAATCCATCTTTAAAAAACAAAGTATTTCAAGTGTCTTTTTGGCATGTCTTTCTTTAAAACGCATAACAGCAAGGTAGCCTCTTCTCGGGGTCATGTTAATATTGATTTATAGGGAGCCCTGGTGGCATGGTCATTACTCCCTTGGCCGTGATCTTCAAGGCCAGCAGTTCAAAACTGCCAGGTGCTCCTCGGGACAAAGACAGGGCTTTCTCTCCCCATCAAGATGGCCAGTCTTGAAAACCCAGGGGCTAGTTCTACCCTATCCTATAGGGTGAGTATGAGTCAGCGTTGACTCAATGGCAGGGACGGTTCACTCAGATGTACAGGACTATCTGTTTTATATAAAATGGCCCCCAAGTGTTACCTGCATTTTGTAATCTTTTGCTTAATTCCTTGTTGTCACGTGTAATGTGTGACTGTAGTTAATATATCTCTCTTAGGTAGCATATTTCTGTAATCCATAAGGCCATATAGATTGGGTGCAATTACTCATTAGAATTGTATACAGTAAAAGTGGATTCAATGTGGGATTCTAAGAGCTCCTACTATGCATAACATTGAAACATTGACTTGGGGCTTCTTTCGGTTTCTCGGTTGCACTGGCTACAGGCATGCCTCATTAGTACTCTGCTTTGCTTGATTGCATTTTGCAGATATTATTACTTACTTTTGACAAATTGAAGGTTGGCGGTCACCTGTGTTGGGCAAGTCTATCAGCACCCTTTTCTCAGGAGTGTGGGCTCTCCTCGTGCCTCGGGGCTACCTCGGGCACTTCTCACAGTGGTTCTCACTCCTTCGCATTCCTACTGTACACTTATTAGCTCACTTTACAGTGTGAACATAATTTGATCTTGTAGATATTTACATTAACACAACTTTAGATTTTTGGGGAAACAAAAAATCTGTTGACTTGCTTCATCACAATATTTGCTTTTTTACGGTGGCAGAGCCCGCCATATCTGAGGTCCGCCTGCACCGTTGACAGTTCTGAATCTAAGATTGCTCTGAGGAGTTCAACGAAATGCATCTTAAAGCCTCCTTTCGTTTTTAAACTCCGTGACTAAAAAGTAAAAGAATTAAAGACGGTGATGTACAGTCACTAACCCTCCCAGTTGGTCCACAGCTGCAACCATCCACTAAGCCCAAGCAGATTCAGGATACTGTAGAGAATACTGTTGCTTTACATCTGTTTGTCTTAAAAACAAACAAGCTCACTGCCATGGAGTGGATTGCGACTCCGAACAAACTTATGAGACAGAGAAAACATGCCCCATTGTATTTTCAAGGTTGTAAGCGCTTATGGGGACAGACAACCTCGTCTTTCTCCTACGGAGTAGCTGGTGAGTTTGAACTGTGTACATTGTGTTTTGTAGCCCAGTGCTTAACCCACCGTGTCATCAGGGCACCTAAAGTACGGTGCTGCTACTGGTATTCACATCCCTTTATAGTTCTTTGTTGCAGGAAGGGGCTAGTTATCATTTCAATCTTTTCAGTTTGTGCTTGAATGGCACATTAGTAGTAATGGTCTAACGATGTGTTCTGAGGGTACAATAAGAATTTTCTCCTCAACCACTCTCCCTGTAGCCATTTGGCCCTCTTGTCTGAAACGTGCTCTATGGTTTGAGCTCACGCAGTTAGTAGTGCTGGGCTCCTAACGGAAAGGTCGATGATGTGAATCACGTTGAAAAAGAGGTGACTGTCGGCTTCAGATTTACAGACCCGACGGGCCGTTCTCCTTGTGCCCACCGGGCCCTGTGAGTTGGAACTCACTTGATGGCTACAGGTAACTCTGGGCTGTATTAACTTTGATAACGTAGTCATCTGATGGAAAATAAAGTGAAGGAATGATTTTAGCCATCCGATTTCAATCACAGCGAGGGGAATTACATTACTTCTAAACGTGAAGTGCAGTTTTAAACATGGCAAAGCGGAACTTGCCTGCATGTCGTATGGTTGCCAAGTCCAGAGTACGGATTTCCCCGACTTTTATTTTTAAAGTCCACGACGTTGAAGACTGAGAGAGTGTTGTTGATGTAGCCGTCCATGGTGTAGTGGGCGTGGTCCCCATAGGGAGGGACGGAGAAGGACCAGTAATACACCAGGCGGGGGATCATATCTGACGTGAAAGCGATGATCATCGCCTACAGTGGGTGGGCGGAGAAAGCAGAAAGGGGCATTACGTTACAGCTCAGGCAGTTACGGTTAACAGAGTGACTGCTTCCATCAAGTTGATACATTTAATCCAAGATTCAGAAACCCTACTTCTTTCCTAATCCTGTAATAGATACAGGCAGTGATGTCCTAAACTCTTTGAGCAGCTGCTTTAAAACAAAACTACTTTCTTTTTGGTCCTCTATTCTAAGGGTTTGTCCAGAAACCCACCCAAGTATAAAGGCAAAGGCCTGATAGTTGCCTTTGTGGTTTCTTGCGTACAATAAATGCCCGTTCACCCAAACTCAAGAGCGCTACTTGAAAAAATCTCAATCTTTCTTTGATACGTTTTTAATTAGAAGCCTTTTTGTTTTTTGTCATTATGAAAATTACTGTCATCAGAAACTAATTAAGCTCGATATGATTCCATTGCTGAAGATATAGTGACACAA